AAGTTCTTCTCTTATTGCCAGACTGATAAGGAACTTGAAAGTAGTTGCATCCACCACAGAAGAGTTTGTCTCTTCATATTTAATATTATATTTATCATTCTTTCATATAAAGTCTTCTTTATATCCTACTGGTTTTACACCCTTAAGTGTATGGACAACTGGTCCAAATACTCACCTCTTTCCAAGATATTTGAATTATATGACTATTGCTTCTTTATAATTTGGCCAATCATATCTTTGTGTACACTTTGCAATAGATTTCATGGTCCTCTTTCTCATTTATCATATCAACTGCTATATTGCATACAAAAATATTTACGACGTTCATTTGCTTTTCGGTTCTATTTTATTCTAAACATGACATAACTTCTTGAGATCGATCTCTTTATTGTCTCAGGTACCTGACTTTCTTTCTTGTCATGTTTAATATCTCTTCTTGAGATGATTCAAAAATCTAACTCCTTAGTCTGACCATTGTCAATTTCTGCTCCTTTTATTTTCTGAGGATTCTTATGTTTTGAACCAATAAATCTATCACACTTCATGCGATCTTTAGACTCTTTAGCAGATTGATATTGTCCTTCTGGAACATTAAATTTTATGGAGCCTTTATAGCTGGTATGTGACTTTGTCACTCTATTTGTGTCAGTAAATGTTTATGGCAACTGATTTACTAAACTTTATAAATGAATCATCTTTTGGACTTTAATTCACATTCTTTAGTCCGAGGATCAATGATAATTCATTACAACTTATCTTTTCCAGCTATTTTTTTTCTCCCCTGATGTTGGAATTACTGACATATTAAAATGACAGTTAACAAATCGAGCCTTATATAAATCCTTCATGGATGGACTCTACATACTTAATTATCAATCTCATTTGAGGATCCATCTTATAACTTTGTGGTGGAGCAATGTGGATATATACTGCACATCCAAATCATTTAGATGGAAATTATTTGGTTTCTGACCCAAAACCAATTTGATGGGAGAATTTGATTACTTGTTGGCTTTATGTGAATTAATACTTCTGGATTTTGTGTATGAACATTTGCTATTGGATTTTCAATATTTATCTTTATGCTTTTATCACAAAAGGCTTAAGACATGAATTCACTAACATTACCAAATGGTCTAGCAAACTTCAAGTTTCAGATATTCAATATAATAAATTACTTAACCATAAACTTTTCCTTGTAAACTTTCTAGGAAATGAAATAGATTTCAAAACTATTTTGGCTAGTGAAAATCATAATATCATATTTTTCATATGATTAAATCATTAGGAAGAATCTTCAAGTTGTTCAATGAATGTCTATAGACCTATTAATTATTTCTGCATATTTTTTGAACCGGAATGGTCTAACCAGCTCATGCCAAACTATGTTATATTCTTTAAACTTCTGGTTTACTATATAATATTTATATCCATTATACAATCTTTATATATTACAATATATTAGAGAGTGTATGTAGTTTCTCCAAGAAAATTTTACTGCATTTAGGAATACTCTAGATCTGAAGGTATTCAAATTTTCTTTCTTAATTGTCTAAACTTGATTAACTTTGAAATCCTTTGGAGTTGCTTTATAAATGATTCATCAAGATCATTTAGACTTTGAACATAGTCTTCTAGATGTTTTAGTTACTAGGGATTCTTACATAATTCTTTATCAATAATCTTCTAGATGTTTCACTTACTATTGATTATGGGATTCATTAATTCTTCCCCTCAAGATGATGACGCTTCAGGTTCATCTATCTTGAATTAAATCAATAACATATCCAACTTGGATCATGCTTATATCTTTAGTTCTTTATAATACATCAATAATTGCATTCCTACTGGCAAATATATCTACTCTGCCAGAGTATTCTATAATCCATATATCACCAGATCTTGTACTCACATTAGTTTATTTCATCTTTAGATAAAAGAAACACTTCTTGTTTATACCATCTTTATTTTCTCACTTCTTGTGAGAATTTGAGTTCTTGAAATAAAACTTTTGATCTAGACCTTGATCATATCTATTTCATATTCACATTCATGACCTCTTCTTGAGCCAGTTTCTTGGTTAGTTTTATTAACATGATTCTTTTTTTTATCCCACTATATAATGTCACATGTGCTTCAAAGAATGGATCATAATTAATTGGACATAATTTATGACTTTTTTATCAATAGCTCATTATCTTTCAAAATAGTTCTTAAACTTCCTTTCATAGTGTAAGACAACACTATTTATCTAATCATTAGAGTAGGTCTTCAAACATCTCCAGATTAGTGATATTCTCTTCACATAATTTTCAACATAATGAGAATTATTTACAGACTTCAAGTCTTGTAATCTTATATGTAAAGACTCATATTGAGCTATAAGTAATGTCATATTATAGTGATCATCATTTTTCCTTAGATTTATGTAAAGAACTTAGAAATCTTTTATTATAAAATACAATATATTCTTATAGATGATAGTAGAAAATAAATATTATATAACTACACATATATAAAAAGAAAAGCATTATTTAACAAAATCAATGGCATGTACCATCTCTATTATCACTTCATGTGACAATTTAAGTTTTAAAGGAACTTTAAAAAAGAGATAATTTTATAATACTTCTTAAATATCTTTATGTTATGACGTCTACAAGACAACAATATTTGTGTGATATATTCTAATTAATGATATTATCTCCATTTATAGACTTCAAGTCATATGGTTTTTAGATAATAAGTTAGGTCATATCACATTCTGGTGATACAAGTTTTTTCTTTAAATTGCTCTATGGTCAATAATTTGATATTAAAATCATCAAAGATATAATAATAAATAAGTATAATTATAAAAAAAATATGATCTACAAATATAATATAGATAAAAATAATAATATCATAAAATAATTCAATGAATCAATCATTATTGATTAATCTATATCTATCATGATATTAAACTAGATTCTCAAACAATCAATTCACCCAAAAAATATCATATGATGAAAAATGTGCAAATCTCGTGATATATATAAAAATGATTGTTCTGTGCAAAAATTGGGATATATGTAAAATTCTAATGAATTCAAGATAAACTGCCAGTGGAGAATTCAGATAATCATATATGTGCAAACTCCGGGTTAACAATATTGAAAACAGAAACTAGTGCAGAATTTAAAACAGAAATCTACATTTGAATAATGACATAATAAAACACATCCGTGTAAAAACTATTCTGTGTAAAAACAATATTGAAAATATTCGATTTAGTGAATCTGTGCAGAAGCAGTGTGGGGAAATATTCGAGTTTAATGGAATAAGATTCAGTTTAACAAATTTTGTGCAAATCATGTGCAGAGATAATATAAGCAATATACGATTTTAATGAACAATGTTCAGTTTAATATATTTCATGTAAACTATGTGCAGAAACAGAAAAAAAAAATTAGATATGCAAATCATATGCAGAAATAGGAATAAGAATATGTTGATAAATATCATGCAAAAATATATTAGTATAAACATGTGATTTGAATCTCTACCGGAGAATTTATCATTTATAAAAATAATTATAATCTTTGCGGGAGTTTTTATTATAGTATTAATCATACATATAATAAACATACAAGTTGAATCTCTACAAAAGAATCCATCATAATATTGATCATATAAATCTCTTCAAGAGAATTTATCATAATATTGATCTTGTAAAAAAAAAGTAATAACATAAACATATGATTTGAATCTCTGCTGGAGACTATTATAATATTGATTAATGATCCATTTTTACAAACCATGAGTTGATAATAAACATGATTTGAAGTTAGAATTAATAAATACTAAGAAACAGATTTGTATACCTCTTAGCTTAGACAGCTAGAGTTTCGTGCTGATAATGTGTTGTGAATAGAGAGAAGAGATATAAGAAATTGATGTTGTGTTATTCCAATGAATAGATAGTCCTTTATAGGAGTACAAAGAGAGAGTTTTATTTGGTGACAAAGTAAAGCCTAGCTTACAAGTAACTCTAGAACCTTCTAGAAGGTGGGCCTTATGGACTTATAATAGAAATCAAATAACAGTTCATAACAAGTACTTATTAGTTTGCAAGATGTATCCAAAATGGTAATGTTCCAAGTTTTCCCATCTTTCACGTCAATATATATACAAATAACTCTTAAGAAATTTTGATCATCAACAAACAATTTTGCTCTGCATTTATTTGTTATAATCTAAGATAAACAAATTAAAAAACAATGAAAAACTCTATTTTAGATCAATGGTATTTCATCCAGGTAGGTATATTAATTGTAATGGTTTTTTCATGTGTTTTAGGAAGGCGGTACATGTGAATTCATGAGAAAGCAGAAGATTTTTTATAGAGAATAATCAAGTGAAAGAAGACGACAAAAACAAAAACATAAATTCAGAAGAAAACGATATGGAGAAGAATCTATAGGAAAAAGGTAAAGAACTGAGAAGAAGCACAATGATCACATTCTCCATAACCAAAAAGAGAATTCTACAGCCTCAAACGTGTACCTTAAGTTTTTCAATGCAAATTTGAACCATTTGTGTGTGGGTTTCATATCCAGTTATATTAATTCTATATTTCTAAAGAAGCTCTGATACAGGCTATGCATTGCATGTTTGATGGAAAAAATGACGATGGCGTTAGTTACAAATAGTTATGAAATTGATGAAGATGGTTTTTAAACCCGAGGAATGACTGGCTTTTGCTTTAGAAAGCGATGCACGGAGAGTAGAAACTGGGCCTGTGTGGCGAAAAACGGAGGAGAGATACCTTACAACTACGATGGGAACATAGTTTACCCAAAGAGCTTGATCTACGAGTGTGGCCCTCTCTGTAAATGCCCTCCTGCTTGCTACCTAAGAGTCACGCAGCGAGGGATCCAGTTCAAGCTGGATATCTTCTAAACCGAGTCGAGAGGTTGGGGAGTGAGGTCTCTTAGCTCGATACCTTCGGGTAGCTTCATATGCCAGTATGTCGCGAGCTTTAGGAGGACAAAGAAGCTGAGAGAAGAACAGGGAACAACGAGTATCTCTTTGACATTGGGAACAAATATGACAACACTTTAGCTGAAGGGATGTCGAAGCTAATGCCAGGGATGGAGAAAGAAGAAGAAGATGGTGGTTCACCGTCGACGCCGCGAAGAAAGGGAACATCAGGAGATTTATAAACCATAGCTGCTCACCGAATCTGTATGCGCAGAACGTGTCAGTATGACCATGAAGACAAGAGGATCCCTCACGTGATGCTGTTTGCGATGGACAATATACCTCCGTTTCAAGAACTCACTTACCATTACAATTACATGATCGACCTCTATTAATCGATTAGCCTTGAAACTTTTCTCCCCTGTTTTTTTTAAACTCAGATTATTCTTGTTTTTATGTTTTTATCAACGGTTTATGTTATACCGTAGAATCTATATAAATTAATATACCATATAGCAGCAGCTCATACACAACAAAGAATAATGAAATCCTTAATGAAAAAGAAATTAGATATGCATTACTAAAAGAGTACAAGTCAAGAAGAGACGGTTTGTTATGGGTAATGATAATCATGTGGTCGAGGTAAAGTGAGCTCTCAGGAAGAAGAAAAGGTTGAAAAAGAAAGAGAGACTTGAAATTATTGGAGTTCAGAGCGGAGTTGACTTACGTTAGAGGGGAAATGAGCACATTTTTTAAAAGGTTTTTCCTAGCAATAACATAAGCCCATCAGAACCATAAAGACCGCGCCGACCTAGCTCGGACTAAAGGAAATATTCTGAAGATAACCATCGAAGACCGGAAACATTGGATCAACTCGAAGGATAAAGGAGAATCTCCATATCTCTCGGAGAATAAGGAATATTTTCATATCGCAAATATGGAAATATTCACTAAAGGCAAAAAGGAAAAGGAGTTCGAAGCAACCGACCTCCTATCCTTATAAATAAAGAGGACCTCGAAGCCAAGAAGGATAATTAATACATTCTAGAGAGCAGCAGAGCTAAAACCAGAGACTCCAACGCTTTCTAGCTTACTTCACAAACACCTTTTTCACTTCAGCATAACCTCTCGGTTATACTTTTTTTGTAATTGTTTCGCTTACTTACTATCAATAAAAGAAGTTATTCTCCGAAACCCACAATTGTTAATCAAACCCTAGTGGTGATTTTCTGGTTCAACAATTGACGTTGTCTGTGGGGACTAGGAGAATAAATTCTTGGAAACTAGCCAAAAAAAGCCGAAGCGATGAGTCTCCCGACCGATAACAACGATCTCATTCGCAACGACGATGACACCACGTACACGGAGACGTATATTCTTGGCGAACAAGTTAACTCAACCACCGCGAATCCACCCACGGGAGCACCCCCAACTCCTATCCTCGCCTCCGACCTCGCAGCAGGAATCCAGGCTGCCATGCTCCCCCTCACGCAGAACCTGGTGTCCAAGCTGGACACCCTTCAGGCCCAGCAAGCCAAGTACGACGAACAGCTCAGCGCCTTCACGGCCGCAACCACCGCAATATCAGGACCAGTCGGACGACGGCTGATCTTCGAGACACCGAAGCAAGACGACCCTGAGGAACAGCACCGGCTACTGAGGAGCCATCAGAGGAGCTGAATTCCGAGATCGCAAGGTTACACCAGCGAATCAACGCAATCGGATCCCAAGTCCACCGAGCCACCAGCTTGGCACCCGAGATCTCGTCCATACTGTCAGATGCCAAACGCAATCCGTTCGCTCCGCGGATCACCGACGTACGACTTGGCGAGGCGATAAAACTGTAGCTCTCATACTACAACTGGATGGAAGAGCCCAACCTGTGGCTGACCGGATTCAACGTCGCCATGAAGAGACAGCGCTTCGAGACCGACCTCGAACGCGAGGCAAACCACTGCCAAACCTTCGTAGAGCACCTCAGCAAGAACACTCTCAAGTGGTTCTCTAACCTACCTCTGCCATCGATCAAATCCTTCAAGGATCTGACCTATGCCTTCTTCAAACATTATTTTATGTTCATCACGAAGAGCACGGTCAATATATTCACTCTAGTGCAGGAACGCGACCAACCACACCACGATTTCATCAAAAAATTTAAGAACACCGCCGCGGCTTACGTCCAAATCCCACAAGCCTTAGCCTTCGAGGCACTTATGAACAGCTTGTGGTTCGGATCTTCCTTCAAAGAAGATTTGCAGAAACACCCGAAGGAAACCATAGAAGACGCACTCCATCAAGCCCAGACTTCATACGGATGGAGGAGGAAAGAACGTTCTATGCCAAAAAACACGGCATGGACGTGGCAAGTACCTCGAAAGACAAGGTGCCCGCAGGCAAATGCAAGCCATCCTCTCACGCCGTTGTAACAACTGGAGAGAAGCCCCGGAATCAGTGGACCCTAGGAGATCCCCCAAGGAGTACGAGCGATAGGGATGACAATCATGACCTCTACTGCTCCTTTCACGGTCGAACGGGACACGCTACCTCGGCATGTCGACACCTCCATAACACATTGTATGAAAAATATAAGGAGGGTAAAATTAACATTGGAGGCGACCGCTCTCAGAGAAAAACTCTTACTCGCGCAGCTCCAACTCCAGGGACTCGCGCTGAGGTACTTCCAGCAAGGATCGCCGAGATCCGGAGAACAGTACCACACAACATTCAACGGCACCTGCTTGATCTTAGGAGGAATATTCAACGATCCCAGTTCGTTGGAAGATATCAAGCAAAACGAAGAAAAAACAGCAGGGGCGAAGCGAGATCCACTCGCCCCGAGGTACGAAAAACCAATAGATTTCACAGCAGAGGATCAGCACAGCTCGCACGCACCACACGTCGACCCACTAGTCATAACTCTACAGATCCATGAAAGGACGGCCACCAAAGCTCTGGTTGACGGCGGGAGTACCGTCAACATCATCTTCAAGGATACTCTGTCGAGGATGAACATTAGTGAAAACAAGATAATAGCGATAAGAAAACCGCTGACAGGATTCGCAGGCGACACCTCCTACAGTATCGGTTCGATACATCTAGTTACTTACGTCGGCGGCATGATCAAGAAGACAGAAATTGCAGTCATCAACTGCCCGACCATCTATAATGTCATCCTCATAACTCCATGGGTCTATGCCATGAAGGCCGTCATCTCGACATACCAACAATGCATCAAGTTTCCAACTCCTACCAGTACATTCACACTGCAGGGCGACCAATCAACAGCACGAATGTGCCTTCTAAGCGAATGAAAAATCAGAGCAGCAACCACCTACATGGTGAATGAAGATCTGGACCCGCGTCTTCCCTTCCACAAAAGACCGAAGCCCGAGCGAGTTATACAGGTAAGCATCGACGAACAACACCCGGAGAGAACTGCGAGCATTAGCGGCGACCTTGCAGAATATATAAAAGAGGAGCTCGTCAAACTTTTACGTGACCACGTGCACCTATTTGCCTGATCCATGGAGGACATGAAAAGAATCGACACCAGAATCACGTCGCATAAACTAAAGGTAGACCTTACGTTTAAACCAATTAAACAAAAATGAAGGAAGCTCGGTCCTGAAAAGGCACAAGCCGTAATCGATGAAGTGGAAAAATTGCTCGGCGCCGGATCGATCACCAAGGTCCAATATCCCGACTGGTTAGCTAACCCAGTCATGGTCAAAAAGAAGAACGTCAAATGGAGGGTCTGCGTCGACTTCATTGATCTCAATAAAGCCTGCCCAAAGGACTGTTTCCCGCTTCCTCACATCGATCGACTGGTCGAATCAACAGCCGGAAATCAGCTCATATCCTTTATGGATGCCTTCTCTGGGTACAATCAGACTTTATGCATCCCGACGACAGAGAAAAAAATGGCATTCATAACTGATCGCGGAACGTATTGCTATAAAGTCATGCCCTTCGGACTAAAAACGCAGGCACTACATACCAACGGTTGGTCAACAAGATGTTCGCAAGTCAGCTCGGCCGTACCATGGAGGTTTACATTGACGATATGCTAGTCAAATCCGTGGTCGCCAAAGATCACGTCGGCCACCTCAGGGTTTGCTTTAAAACCCTCGAAAAATACGGAATGAAATTGAATCCAGCTAAATGCACGTTCGGCGTAATCTCAGGAGAATTCCTAGGTTACGTTGTTACTCAAAGGGGGATAGAAGCGAACCCAAAACAAATTTTTGCGATTCTGGACCTCCCGCCACTCAAAAACACACGCGAAGTACAACGCTTAACCGGCAGAATCGCTTATTATGAACTACGGATGACTTGATCCCTTTTTGGATACGTAGGCAGCCTCCGGGCCCAGTCACTATCTTAATAAAAATATCTTCGCAACTAGCTCGGCGTAACAATCACTGGTCAAAATCGATCAGCTCGGCATATAGAGTCATATTTTCTCATGCGAATGCATCTTGCTAAATCGATGTTCTGGCCAAACATTTGATTATAAAAAGCAAGCGTAAAAACTAAATTAGTGGCTGATCACCACTCTTTTGACACTTCGGTTTGATTTAATTACTTGTGAAGTAGATAAGATGAAAGCCGAGGACAATACTCGCATGACCCTCGATCATACCTTTCAGGCCGAAGCGAATCCTGAAAGCTTGGTATTCGATCTTGATCGTCGTTTGGAATAAAACGGACAAATGAATCCTGCTTCCAGCACCGGCCTAAAGAATGCCCCCGCACCGTAAAGCAAAATAAACTTTTTGACTTCGCAAAAACCTTACACTTAAGGACTATGTCATCAACAAGGATAAAAAGACATGGATAATAAAACTATCAATTTATATGTATTCATTAGGAAAACATTCGTCTGATGTACAAAAAACAAAAAAAGAAAGCACTACAAATTACAAAAGTCTTGAACGACGCTTCGGCAAACGGATCCCTGCCGCTTCTAGTTCCGCGTCAAGAGGTCACATATGAACTCGAGTTGTAGCAGCGAAGTCATCTGGAGAAAGCGGAGCATCCCTCATCCTGTGACACTCTACCTTCAGACGATCGGCTTCGGTGGAGTGAGACAGAAGTTCCTTAATCGGGACCTCATGACCCACCGACCTGAGTTGCTTATAGCAATCTGCTCTTGCCTCGGTGTCAACAATTCGGAGCTCCAACCGATGAATATCAGGTTCTTCAACCATGAAAGCCTTGATACGCTCAATATGGGGATCGTATCGCTCATGAAGACGACGGTACGTCAAATCAACCACGCGATCGACTGATTTGCGTTGATGATCCTGAAACTCCTTCTCGGCAGCAGCTATCTTTTTGGCCTCTTCGGCCGTTCACCTCTCCAGACTTTTCCGGTGAAGTTGCTTTTCTTTGGCAGACTCAACCTTAAGAGAATGACATTCCAGTTCCAATTTGAACTTCTCGCGCTCAAGCTCTTTGATCTTCACCAAGGCACCCCGAAGCTCTCGTTCCTTAGCTATCAGCTCTTCAATCAGCCTCGCCGAACTGGGGGGACTTACTGTTAGAGGGGAAATGAGCACATTTTCTAAAAGGCTTTCCCTAGCAATAACATAAGCCCATCAGGACCATAAGACTGCGCCGACCTAGCTCGGACTAAAGGAAATATCCTGAAGATAACCATCGAAGACCGGAAACATCGGATCAACTCGAAGGATAAAGGAGAATCTCCATATCTCTCGGAGAATAATGGATATTTCCATATCGCAAATATGAAAATTGTACCAAAGACAAAAAGGAAAAGGAGTTCGAAGCAATCGACCTCCTATCCTTATAAATAAAGAGGACTTCGAAGCCAAGAAGGATAACTCATATATTCTAGAGAGCAGCAGAGCTAAAGCCAGAGACTCCAACGCTTTCTAGTTTACTTCACAAACACTTTTTTTACTTCGGCATAACCTCTCGGTTATACCTTTCTGTGTAATCGTTTCGCTTACTTGCTATCAATAAAAGACCTTATTCTCCGAAATCCACAATTGTTAATCAAGCCCTAGTAATGATTTTCTGGTTCAAAAACTTACTTTTCAAGTCATCGTCTTTCGTCTTTTTCCCCGTGAAACAAACTGACCAGTCAATATTGCTGAATAGTTTGAGATATCGATTTGTTTGTTTGGTTGGTTTCTTTTGTCATGATATATTTTTTTTCTTTGTTCGAGTTTGATTGATAAGGTTTGTTCAATTGCGTCGTGATACTGAGAATAAATTAATCCAATCGAATTACTCAGAATATATTTCTTTGTTCGAGTTTGATTTATGTGATTTGTTTTCGTTCGCCCCTGGTTTTGGTGTCTATCAAGTTCTTCCATCTAACAAATTTTATTTTTAATGGGATAATAATCTCCAAAGACTAAACAATAACATAAACTTTTACACTGAAAGTTGTCTTACGTAAGTTTGATAGCTTGGTTTAGCAACAAACAGGCTTTAACTGGTGACTATAAAAGTAACAATATGAATGAATAGAAAAGGAATGAAATGAACAAAATAATAGGAATTATTGTTCTTTCTCATTTTTTATAGGGAATATAATAACATTATAGTTTCCTAAAATATAAGGAATGAGAAGGAATAATGGGTACAATATATTCCTTTTAATTGGTGTAATTTTTAAGGAATGATAAGGAATTTAGTATTCCTTTCCATTCCTTATGGTCACCAGTTACTGCCAATAAACAAAACAAAATATGATACCAGTACTAGAGTATTTATTCTGTGAACTTAACTGTACTGTTCATTTTTGATAAGTTCTCATTTTGTTTATAAGATTATTATGAAAAGGTATGATGAGCTTATTTTGTTTATTATTGTTGCTTTCTATGATTATGTTCATTGCTAATTCTGTTTATAAGCTTATCAGCATCAGTGTTCATAGTCGCTGATAAGTTATTCTCCTACAAAATCACTGATTAACTGATTATGTTAACTGTTAAACATTGTTCCAACTATCTTCTTTAAAATAAGCTGCTCCATGCTCCATTAAAAACTATGCAAATAAATTCTTTTGGAAGTTCTGCAAAACCAACGAGAAGCCAAAGAGAAGTAGCACTTGCTTGCAACACAAGTATCTATTACTGTGTCTCTATCTCATTTGTCAAGTAAGTTCAGCCACAACATCTGTGTCTCTGCGTCATTTGTCACAGTAGCTGTGACTGTAACACATCCTGTTCCAACAATTTTGAGTCCTTGAAGTAGCTGTTGCTTGCAACACAAGCATCTATTACATGCAAGGACTCAAAATCAACATTTTTACCAACTCAATTAAGAAATGCAATGGCTTTTGCTACAGGAGAAATCTCTATGATATATTCCTCAAGGTCATGTGGTTCTGTTTTTTGGCAATGTGAGAATGGTATAAACCATTAGATATATCCACTATAAGAATATGCATTTAAAAACTTTGGTTTCTCTCAGGCACGTTTACCAAAAAGAAAAACCTAGTTTCTAAACGCGTTGCCTTCGCGATTTCTCCGCCGGTGTGCTCTTCCTCCGGTGGAACATTCCGGTGTCCTCTCAGCCTTTCTCTCTCACAATTCTGTCTTCTTTCATGGTGTCTTCTTCTCAATTGCTAACCAACGGCGAAGCTACTATCTCGATTCCAGCAACTGAAACTGGTGTGGCTGTTTTAGATCCAGTGATGGCTTTATCTGAAAGTCACAATCCGGCTACCACATTAAATCCAGCTATGGTTTCTGATTCTGCAGCTGTAATTTTTGAGACGAAACCATTGACCCCCTTTGTTCCGTCACTAGGAGCGTGGGTAAAGCCCTTAAAAATTAATCCAGAGCTGAAGGACCCAATTCCTCAAATTCCTCCTTCATCTGAAACCCCAATTTCCAAGAGTCATGTTCGACCATCTGATATTCTTCCTCCAGAAGTAAAAGAAGATGGCAACCTGCAATTTCCTTGGGCAGCAAAGATGGATCCCAAAAATGTGCAATCTCCACCGTACCACTTCGCCAACTTACTTGGAGGATGGCACACCAATGGTTGTGATTCCAGACCATGTCTTGATGCAGGGATTGGAAAATCAAGAAGAGTATATAATAGGACAGTTTTATCGCTGCTCTTTGCCATCAGAAGGTCTCATCCATGCTGTCACCAATCGGATTTGGGGTAAGAGATGTAAAATCTTCACTCGCAAATTAGGAGACTCTTCTTATTTGTTTCATATCCCGGATGAATCCACTAGAGCTTGGGTTTTAGAGAGAGGGATATGGCATATTGATGATTGCATTATGTTTGTTGCTCTGTGGACTCCTGCTGCTTCATTATCGATACCTGAAATAACTTCAGTTCCTATTTGGGTTACTCTAAAAATATCCCCAGCCTATTATATTCTGACTGGGGAATTAGTTGGATAGCATCAGGTTTAGGGGAACCTATGCTCACCAATAAACCAAGGTTAGATCCAACTCAAATGGGTGAGGCTAAACTAATAGTGGAAGTAGAGTTAGATATAGCTTTTCCGCAAAGAATTGCAGCTGGAGACCAAAAAGGCAATGTGTCAATGGTGTCTGTTGAGTACTCTTGGATTCCTTTTAAGTGTGAAAGATGTGGGCATTTGGGCCATAAGAAATCGAGATGTCTGCTCCTTCATGAGACTAAAGCTAACACTTTCGACTTTGTGGATTCTAGAGCGACCGCTGATATAGCTTCTGAAGTTGTTAATACTACAACTCTGGACGTTCCTTTTGTTGCTCCTATGGAAGCAGCCAATGAAGTTTTAAGTGATGTTGTTGCTGCACATGCTGCAGTTTTATCTACTTCAGCCTTATCATGTGAAGAGGCGGAACAGGTGGCTACTCATGTTGCTAATCCAATTGATCTTGATTATATCAATACTTTAGAAAATGCCAACGCTACTCTGTTATTTGGTTCTCCTCCTGATTTGGTAACCTTCTCAACTCCCCCTCTCTCAGATTCATTTGCTAATGAAGTTGTGCAAGAGAATGTTTTTGGAAGCAATTCTGCCTTAGACTTTGGAGCTACATGTTTTGAGATGGGTGACACCTCTCAAAGGACAAATAGAGGAAGACCAATAAAACCTACCCAAAAAAATTAAGAAATGCAAAGGACCGTGGCCGTAGAGGCCGAGGATCACCATCTTAGAAGATTTTAGAGAGCTATTTCTAGTTCTTTCTTCTATTTAAACTCCTACTTTGTTGTAGTCTTCTTTTTTTAAACAACTTTCTCAAACTGTATGACCTATAGTCATATCTTTGTATTGTTTGTTTTCCTTGCATTTTAATAGAAAGCCTTTTGTCAAAAAAAAAAAAAAAAAAAAATTACCCAAATTCTTCGGCTCTCGGTTATGAAGCAAGTTCCGAACATGACGAAGTGGTTTTCAAACGCAAGAGTGCCTGTACAGGATGCTTGAGTTCCACGCCATACCTAGTTTTCCGAATATAAATGAGAAAGTTCCTTTTTTCACTATATAAGAAAAGGAAATATACTATTTATTGATTTAAAAGACAAATAAAAAACTAATATAGTACTTATTAGTTTGTTTTCCTACCAAAATGTGTCCAAAATGGTAATGTTCCAAGTTTTCCCACTCTTTCACGCCAATATATATATACAAACAACTCTTAAGAAATTTTGATCATCGACAAACAATTTTGCTCTGCATTTATTTGTTATAATCTAAGATAAACAAATAAAAAAACAATGAAAAACTCTATTTTAGATCAATGGTATTTCATCCAGGTAGGTATATCAATTGTAACGGTTTTTTCATGTGTTTTAGGCAATGTTTTGAATCCCAACCCGGAAAGGCTGGTTTGCCCGGTTAAACCGGGACTCGATCACTCATCCGGGTTGGTTCTACTTTTAAAATTCAAAATTTATTAATCCAATAAAATCTAGAAAAAACCGCGAGTAATTCGTGACATGTTGACTCGGTTAAACCAGTAATTTCATTTTGTTAATAAAAAAAATCTTTTTGATATAAATAACTCATAATTAAATTATAGAGTTTTATTACTTTGTGACTTTTGTCGAGTTTTAAGGTTTGTAATTTGTATTAACATTTTCATGTTTTCTGTTATGTTTTAGACAATTTATGTTGTGTTTTTATATTTAATAATTTGAATAGTTTATGTTATATTTTCATACTAGGTGTTTCCCCGCACTTTGTACGAGGTTCGATTATTTTTTTTTAAAGTATAACATTAGTTTATTTATAGATTAAAAATCAGATTTTATAATGATTCAAAATCAAACTTAATATATTTGAAAAAATATAATTTTTATGAGTATATTGTTTTTTTGTGACAAAGCAAAATAAATTTTTTGTATCTTATTAATATCTTTTATATTATCCGATAAAAACTTATATGTATGCTTTGTTGTTTTGTCAAACACGATAAATAGTTCTCTTCTTTTGATGTAATTTGGTATATTAAGATTAATAAAATTCAAAGTTTGCATAAAAAAACATAGCCATCCAAAATGACCAAGACCAAAGGATCCTTGTTTCATATCAACTTAACATTAATTAATATATATATAGTTTTAAAAGGGTTTAAATGATTTAGGGTTTTACTCGTGGTCGCATAAATCAATTAGGTTAGTCAAAATATTAGTAGATTAAACAATCAAATTAATTAGTTTGATGAAATAATTAGAATTTTTTTATTTATGCTAGTTACTTTTTTAGTTTTTTTAGATACTGAATATTTTTATGATATAAACTCGAATTTAAAAAATTATATTTAAAAAATAAAAATTAATTAAAAATTAGATTAAATTAATTTGTTAATTTCATTAAGGGTAATTAAAGTAAATTCACATAAAGGGCAAAAGGTAATCAACCATCATAACTCTCAACCACAGCTAAACTTGTTTGCCAATTAATAATATGATCTAAATCTATTTAAAATATTTTCCTATTTTAAAAATTATATATTAAATAAAATTGTATTAATTAGTTAACCTGTGGTTGACCCAGATCAACCCAGATAAATTCGGAAACTCAGTGATCCGATAAACATTCTGGTTTGTTTTCCGCGTCAGATTTCAAAACATTGGTTTTAGGAAGGCGGTACATGGGAATTCGTGAGAAAGCAGAAGATTTTTCTTTAGAGAATAATCAAGTGAATGAAGACGACAAGAACAAAAACACAAATCCAGAAGAAAACGATATTGAGAAGAATCTATAGGAAAAAGGTAAAGAACTGAGAAGAAGCGTACAATGATAATTTTACCCAATAAAAAAGAAGCACAATGATCACATTCTCTATAACCAAAAAGAGATTTCTACAGCCTGAAACGTGTAATTTAAGTTTTTCAATGCAAATTTTAAGCTTTTGTGTGTGGGTTTCCTATCCAGTTAAATTAATTCTATGTTTCAAATGAAGCTTTGATATAGGCTATGCATTGCATGTTTGATGGAAAAAGAATGACAATTGCATTCGTTACAAATAGTTATGAATTACTGAAGATGGTTTTTAACTCAAGGAATGACCGGCTTTTGCTTTACATATGAAAAAATCCGAGACAAACATAAAGAAAAAATTTCAGTTCTTTTCCATCTCATATATTCTCCACATGCTCAAAACAAAAATGCAAACAAGTTAGCACGAAGTGCTCGGAACTACTTGTACCATTTAAATTATGTAAATTAAACTACACCGATTTGATTATCTCAACCGTTATAAAGTTCGAGGTTTTTGACCAAAAATAATGTTCCATATGTGTTGCATTGTGACGTGAATCGTGGCACTGTACCGTACATGTATTTATGTGCGTCTTTTTCGCGACATTTGAGATCGCAAACTTGTTCCTTTGTTTTCTTTAAATGTTCTCAATCAAATCAAACTTCCTGATTTGACCTAGAATCGAATTCGAATTCTGACTATTGAAACTTGAGGCAGATCAAAATCCGATTCATCATCATCTTCTTCTCCGCCTCGATCGATCTTCTCATTAGTGTTGAACCAGAAAATCACCACTAGGGTTTGTAATTAACGGTTGTGGATTTTGGAAAATAAGATCTTTATTAATAGCTTGAAAGGTGAAGCGATTACAAGTTTGGTATAACCGAGAGGTTATGCCGAAGGGAAAGAAAAGTGTTTATGCGATAAACTAGAAAGCTTGGAGTTCTTAGGTTTAGCTCTGCTGCTCTCTAGATTGTATGAGTTGTTCTTTTGATGCTCTGTGGTCTTCTTATTTATAGGAATAGGAGGTCGGTCGCTGCGAATTCCTTTTCCTTTTCTCCTTTGGTGAATATTTCCATATTTGCGATATGAAAATATCTCATATTCTTCGGAGAATATGAAAGATTTTCTTTATCCTTCGACCTGATCCGATGCTTGCGGAGTTTCAAGATTATCTTCGAGAGTTTCCTTTTTAAAGCTACATCGGCGATGTCTTCTTGTTCTTGATGAGCTTAGGTTATTGCTAGAGAAAGCCTTTTAGGAAATGTGCTCATTTCTCCTCTAACAATAAGTCATCCCTCAGTTCGGCGAGACTGATTGTAAATCAGGTCGACGGACTTCATGAAGTAATTGGGTTTGATCTCGCAATAAGTGTCAGCTCGTTAAGAGCGTTTCTTCGCGATGGCCAGCCCGGCCCATTTTTAAGTGAATTTGACATGTGGCGCTTCCTTTTTAAAAAAGAAAATAAGACACGCGACCCATTAGGGTTGTGCTTCAAGCGGAAAAGGCGAAAGATTTATCAAACGGCGAGTATTTTCGAATCTCGACACGCGTCCTATAAGGAAACTGTTGATATTTCTTCTGATTTTATTACCGAAATTTTATCTCTCCATCATCTAGCTCCAGTGATTTTTATTTTCCTCAGATTGTTTTTCAAAGATCATTTCTTTCCTACGATAGTCTCGTCTGCTTGCCAATCTTCCTTTTGTTTCCATCTGATTTTTCCAGAAATTTCTGTTTTCTTCTTCTTTGGAAATTTCGACGGGATCGCATGGTTCAACCTGTGATGACGATGACATTTTCCCGCCGAGCGTGCTAGGCAAGCCTGGATTAGTCCAGTTCCTTCTTCTCCCTTGAATTCTGAGGGGTCTTCAGGTTATCAAAACGTAATTTCGCCGGATAATTCCGATAGACTCTGAGATGGAATCAGAGAGTTCTGAGCTAGCGAGCTGTATTAAGGGTCTTTCTCAGACGATAGTGATGCCAAAGAGCGATTTGGCTAAATAAAAGATAAAAAATGGACGGACCTGGATGACTGCTAATAGGCTTCAGAAGCTTAGGCGAAGATGTAATTTTCCCGCTGGAGTCGAAGTGCTCCTGCCGCAGGTACACAAGAGAGTGACATCGGTCCCGGAGGTTTACTTTTGCTCGTACATGTGTCACTATGCTGAGTTTGGTTTGAGTTTCCCATTGCCGACGCTTCTTCTTTGCTACTGTGAAAGGAGGAACACACATGTGATGACATTTTACTCCAGTTCACAAAACAATCCGCTGGTAAAATTCCGCTGAAGTAATTATGTGAGATGTCCATGATTTTCAACTGAAGGAACGAGGCTTGATGTATCGGTCCATGGAATGCATTGGAGCGTAAGATAAGAACTTGCAGGTTTGGTAGAGAACTCAACGAGAACGGAAACGTGTCGTTGATTCTGTTGCTTTCCACAATCAGAACTTCAAGCGTGGAGGAATTAATCAAAGATCTTGGAAGCTTTCCCACCAGTTGATTATGTCCAAGGTCAAGCATTCTTAGACCTTTAAATACACTCTTCGGAAGACCTCCACTAAGATGATTATGACGTAGGTTCAGAACTGAGAGATAGCTCTTAAGATTTCTCATACAACGAGGGATTGAACCATTGAAGCTGTTGCTTGATAAATCTAGAATCGTTAGAGTGAAACTCGCATATGAGAGATGGAATCTCTGCTGTGAAGCTATTATTAGAGCCAGACAAGTACTCCAAGGTTGAGGATAGTCCATGTTTTGTTGAGCGTTCAAAACTTATGAAAGTGTTGTTGGAAATATCCACATAATCAAGTTTTGTCAGTATCCATAACCAGCCAGGTACTTGACCTTTGATTTTGTTGTTGGAAATATCTAGAGTCTCCATACGCTGCTGGGTTTTTA